AGCTCTGAGAAGAACCACCGAGGACGAGACATTGTTGGCCAGAGGGAGTCGGTAGCATTTCCTGCCGCCGGAATTGGGGAAGAAACGGAGCGGGACGCTGGACGAAGAAGTGCCCTCCAGGTATTCGACGGAAGTCGTGTTGCCCGTGGCTATGTAGTCGCCGTCGGAGACCCATGGGATGGCTGAGGAGTCCACGAAATCGGCCGTCCCGCCGCAGGACAAGCTCAGGAAACCTGCATTCCGTTTTAACACGTCCGTTTTTTCATAAATTTTGGGCTGGTTTCACTGCGCAGAAAGAATCCACAGGATCGAGCAAAGAAAGGAGCTTTCTCATTGGCTATCTTTTTATCTCTTCAATTTGACAAACTTACCATCCGGGTTAGAGAAGGCGAGAGAGGAGAGTTCCAAACAGAGGAAGCAGGAAACCCAGAAGCAGATGAGTGCCATGGAAAATGAAGCAGAGGAGGTTTGCAGGTAGAGCCAATTGCAGAGAGCAAAGGTAGGCAGGCAGGGGGGGAAAAAAAGAAGTGAGGACTTGTTATTGTTTTGAAGTCAATCGAAACGAGGAAAATGACAAAGGAAAGACTTCTGACTGACTCAGTCAGTCGTCCAAATCAACACTCCTTTCACTTTCTTCTTCTTGTCTGGTGAGAAGAAGGCGAGGGGTGAAAAGCAGCTTGAGGGTACGATACAGTAGGAGGAGGGTTTGGTTTGGTGGATTAATGATGTAGAATGATGAAAGCAGCAGCAAGAGGGAGAAGGGAATGATGGCGGCGGTTGGTTGGGTGGGTGGCGTGAGGCAGAAATGATGTTTGTTCATTCTTAATTGAGAAGATAGGACAAAGTTATATCGTTGGCCCAACGGCATTATGCCTGGCGGGGGCTAAATGGAGGCTTGTTATGCTTATTGCTTGTTGACGCAAAGGTGCAAGTAAACGAATGAGCACAAATGTAAATTGTAAAGGAAATAGGGGTGTTAATTCGAGTTTGGTTTTTCGGGTTTATCCGAAACCGATCCGATTATATACATTTTCGGTTTTTCGGGTTCGGGTTCATTTTGGGTTTTCGGTTTTGGGATCGGTTTTTCGGGTTCTGACTAAAAACCTCCAATGAATAGAACTCAGCCCGTATTTTTAGGCGTTTGGGTTTTTGAGTTTGGTTTTGCTTGAACCGAACCCGATAAGAAATTTTCGGGTTTCGGGTAACCGGAACCCGCAAGTCCTTATCGGGTTCGGGTCGGTTTTAGTAATTTTCGGTTTCGAGTTTTTTCGGGTTTCGATTTGGATAACCGAACCCGACCCGAACTGACACCCCTAAAAGGAATAGTGGGTCTAAGATGATCTCGTATATTATTATTGCTTTATGTATTGTGAAGGCTTTTGTTACACCAAAATATTATTTCCTTCTTACAATTTTTATTTTATTTTATAATTTCCCTTGAAAATACTACATGGGTGAAGTTTGTGAGAGTTTTGTTGGAGGACTCAACACTCTGCTATTAGTTGGAGATCGAAGAAGCAACTCACTGTTTCTCCATCCTCAACCGAAGTTGAGTACCGTGCAATGGCAGATTTGGTATGTGAAGTACAGTGGCTACATTATATTTTTCAAGACTTGGGGTGTTGATTTGAATACTTCTATTGTGTTATTTTGTCATAATCAATTTACCAATGTTGTCAGAACCGAACCGGAGCATGATCCGGTAATAAGAACAGCTCGCACTTTAGCGGTCCAACCGGCATTAGACCGTTTAAAAACCGTTAGGGAACCGGTATCTAATAAACGTTATCAGTATAAATAGTGGACATTTCTTAATCAGAGCTCATCTCTTTTCTTCGAAATTGTGAAATGGAAATAAGGATTCAATTTAAGAGCCCGACGTTTTTGGTTTATTTCAATTTCCAAATTTCTACAATTTTTTTAATTAAATTTAGTGGCTGAATGGCAAAAACCGGACGAGCGGCTCGATCGGCTCGAACGGTTAACCGCCTCGGCCGCTCGCCAACCGCTACATAAAACCGGAGCGGCTTTTAGACTGTTCCGAGCCGGTTTTGTGATCGGATGGCGGTTTTACCGGTCGGGCCTAGCGGCTCGGCTCGGCTTTAATAACACTGCAATTTACTATTAGATTAGCTGAGAATTCGGTTCGGTTGCACATGAACGCGCACCAAACATATTGAAATTGATTGTCATATCATTCGTGATCGTATACTATCAGGTTTTATCAAAGTTTTGTTTGTTTCTAGTGACAACCAACTTGCTGATATCTCCACAAAGTCCTTGTCAAGTGGTGTATAATTTATGCATTGTATTTAATATTTGACAGTTAGTATATATATTTAATAAGATAGTGTATAATTTTTACCAATTAATCAATACAACAAGTAGACATTTTCTCTCCAAGATTCAACAAGTTTGAGAGAGACCCTACATTCATAGTTGAGTAGTGGCATAAGTGGCGTGCTAAGTGTTGGTGCGTCAAGCGTGTACGTAGGCAATGGGCCGTGCCGCCCACGGGCTAGTACGGCACGGCACGGTTAGAGCACTGCACGAGCACGGGTACGAAATAAATAGGTCAATCTGACACGAGCACGAATAATTTATGGGTCGTGTCGGGCCTAAACTTCATAGGCACGGGCACGACATGGTATATAAGTGGGTCGTGTCGAGCCTAATATTTTCGAGACTTTATTGAGTATAAAAATGGACATGGCACGAAAATAATATTTATTTGATAGAAAATAAATGGGTTAATATTTTCGGATGACCTGAACTTTGAGCAAAATAAACATCCTGACCAATCTTTTCGATCTATAACATCCTGACCCGAACTATACACCAAAATAAACAATTTGGCCAGATCCGACTTTTGACCGTTAACTTGGACGGTCAAACGCATTGACCGTTAGTCAACGCGTCATGTCACTGCCAAGTCAGCATAAATTATTTAAAATAATTAACAATTTCCACACATTCCCTAATTTTAAATTATTATAAATTAAAAAAACATCTAATACCTTAGTTAAACCAAAAATAAAAAATGAAAAAATTAAATATTTATCATATCTTCTGACTTGGCAGTGACATGGCGCGTTGACCGTCCAAGTTAACGGTCAAACATCGGGTTTGGCCAAATTGTTTATTTTGGTGTATAGTTCGGGCCAGGATGTTATAGATCGAAAAAATTGGTCAGGATGTTTATTTTGGTCAAAGTTCAGGCCATACGAAAATATTAATCCAAAATAAATATAAAAAGAATAATATGTTCAAATATTACAAAATACAAGTAGAAAAAGAATTATTTGTTGCTGTTAGAAGTGTCATAAAGATATATACGTAATTACTACCATAAGTAAAAATAGACGAAGAATTGAACAAAGCCAAATCACACTCGCTATATTTCCAATTTTCTTTTCCCCCTTATTTGTTACTTTTCTTTTTCATTCTCTCTTTTGTTTTCTTCATTTTCATTAAATACGAATACGAGTATTGCACAAGCACGAATAGGCACGACACGATTCGAACCGTGCCCGGGTCTAGACCGGGCCTAGCAAAGTTAACAAATGGGCTTGCATGACACGACACGAAAACTGACGGACCGTGCCAAGCACGTCACGAAATAAATGAGCTCGAAGCGTGTCCGTGTCATGCTGGCCCAAGCACGGCCCAACGCCATGTACAGTAGAGCGTGAGACACATTTCTTTTTCTTTCTAGATTACGAAGTCAATTGAATAAGTTCTGCAAATACATAACCCCACCGACCCTTCGGTCAAGAACAAGATAAAGTATAATGGGAATTTGATTGGAAGTGTTTGTGGCAAAACTTGAATCTCGTTATTTCTCATACGATACAGGAAATGGGCTCTAACTTACCCGATTTTTGCTCAAGCACAAAAATCCTTATGTATTACTTCCCGTTACCCAAGCTAGCCCGCTGCTTAATTTAAAGGAGAAGCAAATGATAAGATTTGACTCAATTATAAATAAGTACGACAAGCCTCAAATGTTAAGTCCAAAACTCAACGTCCAAATCTTTGTACTCTGACTTTGTTTCTGGAATTTCATCCGGTGCTGATTATGTTAAAAAAAATTCTCGATCAAAGAAGCTCAGTTTATATCTCAATCGAGAACAGAGGATGAACACTGAGAACACAACAGCATAACCCCATAAAATTACAACAAGAATTAAATCAAACCCGGTGTGTATTCGATTCACATAAATAGTTATGATAATTTAATTTAGCTTTCATTCCTTTCTCAAATCCATGTGAAGTTCCCCAGAAAATATCAACCGAAACAGAGCACACAAGCACAGAGACAGAACCAGTAGCAAAACTGAAAATTGAAATGAAAAACGACACATGATTTTTATGTGGTTTCCAGTATTGGAAGAATAAGGATCCCAATACGAACTACTCCACGATCAGAGACTCACGATTGTGTGATCTCCTAAAGATATGGCTTCAAACTTGTTGTGTACAGTTTAACACCTGATCAAGCTCGCATGTCAATCAAACAGATTCTAACCCTTTTAATCAACTCTCCGTCGATCAGAACCCAGTATTTTCCTAATACTGAACCCAAGCTATCTCCCTGATGGCTTGAATCATTTTCCTATCAAACTACCCACAACATATATCCTATGCTCTCTTCTTAGTGTTGATTTCGTTGAAAAGTTCGCCCATTCTATCTACCCCAGAGCGCCTTCTATAATCTTAATTAACATTTTGACAGTTGCACCGAAGCTATCTTTCCATGTTCACCAAATTCTTAATCTCTTTAGGAATGGTAAGCTTCTATTCTCTAAATGTTTATGATTTGTGAATATGCAATCTATGGAAAGTTCTTTCTTCCAGCAACAAGCTGAGCTGATCGCTTGTTGATTTCACCTTTTAATGGCCTTCGTTGTCTACCAAGCCATATGACTCAATTTTTTTTTATTCTAAAAATATATTAAAGTGGATATCATTATAAAGAGTACATTTTAAAGAACACAATTAATCTAATTTATTTGTACAAAAACATTTAAATTTCGACTTCAAACCAGAGAGAAATCGTCCGTTAAAGATTAAAGGAAAAAGATAAAAGGCTTTCCATGAAAGAGAAGAATGCTGATGTGGACGGGTTACTCATTTTTACTCATCGTAAGGTTCTATTAAGTATTAACCCTTTTTACAACAATCTAATAAAAGAAAGGGGTTGACATTAAAAAAGAAAGGGGTTGACATTGATCTATGAGGGGTTGGGCCGTGCTTGGGCCGGCACGGTATAGGCACGCTTCGGGCCCATTTATTTCGTGTCGTGCTTGGCACGACCCGTCAGTTTTCTTGTCGTGCCGTGCAAGCCCATTTGTTAACTTTGCTAGGTCCGGTCCAGGCCCGGGCACGGTTCGAATCGTGTCGTGCCTATTCGTGCTCGTGTCATGCTCGTATTCGTGTTTAATGAAAAGGACGAAGACAAAAGAGAGAATGAAAAAGAAGGTGAAAATTGGACGTAGAAAGATAGTATTAACCAATAATGTTTGAGAAAAGTAACAAATAAGGGGGAAAAGAAAATTGGAAGTATATCGAGTGTGATTTGACTTTGTTCAATTCTTTGTCCATTTTACTTGTGTTAGTAATTACTTATATATCTTTATGACACTTCTAACAACAAAAAATAATTATTTTTCTACTTGTGTTTTGTAATATTTGAACCTATAATTCTTTTTATATTTATTTTCTATCAAATAAATATTATTTTCGTGTCATGTCCGTTCTTATACTTCAATAAAGTCTCGAAAATATTAGGCCCGACACGGCCCACTTATATACCGTGCCCGTGCTCGTGCCCGTGCCCATGAAGTTTAGGCCCGGCACGGCCCATAATTTATTCGTGCTCGTGCCGGGCTGGCCCATTTATTTCGTACCCGTGCTCGTGCAGTGCTCTAAGCGTGTCGTGCTAGCCCGTGAGCGGCACGGCCCAGTGCCCATGTACATCTATGACCAAAGATGAAAATACAGCCGACTGAAGCAAGTTCGTGATGTACGACAAAGAAAGCATTCTGATGGGCTAAATTACACGTTTGATCACTCAAATTATACAAATCTTTCACGTTCGTCACCCGAATTACTTTTCTTTCTTATTCGGCACTAACTTTACGAATCGTTTCACCATTAGCACCGGCCGTTACACTTCGTTAAATTTGTCCTACGTGGCAGTCAACTATAAAGTTTGACCATTAACTTGATGACGTGGAAATTAAAAATAATAAAAAATAAAATTATTTTTCCACCTCATCATTCCACTTACTTTGTCTATGTTTAATTATATTAATTATTTAATAAAAATTACTGAATTTTTTTATAAATTACAAAATAATTATCAGTGGAAGGAAGAAATTTATATAATCAACCAGTGCAATAGGATCAGAAATTATCATGCATCCCATAGCCTTTTAAATTAGTTCGTGATACATAACTTAAACAGAAGAACAAGTCCACCCCTGAAAAATTCTATACCAAATGTCATAGTTCGCCGACCTCCGCACCTTGCTTTCGAACCGCAGCCTGGCTCCGTCGATGCCGTAGTTCAGATTGGTGAGCACGTTCAACCCATCGAGCTGCGCGTAGAAGTAGTTGTGCTCGTCGTCCTGGTAGCTCCGGTCATGCCTGGAAATCATCGATGTCGGGATGGAAGCTTCGCCAAGAACTGCAGGTTGTTGAAGAAGCTGTCCTGTGGATCTTGCAACTTCGGCGCCAAAGGTATGAACGCCATCCTTAACAACTATGCATCACTGGAAGAACTGCCCGTGAAGCGGTTCCACATAAGAACCCAGAAGTGGAGAAAAGCGCTAGATGGGAACCCGAAGAACCCATCAGCAGCGTCGCCGGGAGGGACCGCCGCACTCCGATTATCGACGAAGAAACTGGATGAGAGGGTAAGGATTTCGATGGCGCTGACGAAAGCCACGGTAGACGAATAGGAGGAGTGGGGAAGGAGTTCGCTGGATGGGAACCCGAAGAACCCAGCAGCAGTGCCGCCGGGAGGGACCACCGCGCTCCGATTGTCGGTGAAGAAGCTCGATGAGAGGAAGAAGGTGACAACGACGAGGAGAAGAGCGTCGATCTGGGGGGGGGGGGGGGGGGGTAAGAGTGCATCAACAACGAGGAAAGAGGAGGCCGTTCATTTTTTAATTTAATTATTTTTTATTAAATAATTAATATCGTAAATCATATAGATAATGTAAATGCAATGATGAGGTTGAAAATATATTTAATTTTTTAATTTCCACATCATTTAGTTAACAGTCAAACTTTATAATTGACTACCACGTATGAAAAACTTAACAGAGTGTAACGGCCGGTGTTAATGGTGAAAACGATTCGTAACATTAGTGGCGAATAATAAAGAAAAATAATTGGGTGGCAAACGTGAAAGATTTGTATAATTTGAGTGTAATTTAGCCCATTATGATGCATCTAAATTCATGGGAGAAGCATACCGGCAAACAGAGATTAGCAAGTCTGAAGTCTTCGATACATTCAACTTCCACTTTCTCAGGCATAATTGCGTTCACAAGCACGGTCATCAAGGACAATAATCCCTAAACAACAAAACTGTAAGCTACTACTAGCCAGTACACTAGAACTTCAATACTTGACAGGAGCTAGGATCTCTAATTGGGGTCCAAGCTTCTCCTCTGCTACTTTCTCAGCCTTTGCCCTAAGTTTGTTCAAACCCTTCTTCCTCTCGTACATCAACTTAGCCTTTTCCTTTCTCTTCTCCTCGAGCTCCTGCAAAGATATCACCACAGATTTATGCATACCCACCATAAAACAGAAGGGTCAGAAAATAGGTATTGAAACATTGTGTCGCGAAATGTTATAATCTCTATATGGGAATAGAGCCAGACAGAGAAAATGAGGATAGAGTACATAGATAATAGTCAGTCATCTGATTTTGAAAAATGCAGTGGGAGATACATGCGATATGGCAAGGAAACATAAAAGCAAATTACAAATGCCGATGGCAATCACTGGAGACAAAACATGCGCGCATGAAGATGCAACAACAACTCAAACAGGAAAGAAAAATAGCAACAGGATTCCAAGTTTTCCCGTTTCATCCGAAACAAGAGAATCGAAGATGACAACACTCACCCTGATGGTGTCATAGTGGTTCCATCCGACCTGAGATGATAGCTGACCCAACAAGCAGTATTTGTGTCCACTCTGAAGCCTCAACACCCTATAAACACAAACACAGCAAAAAACGAGATTATGATATAAAAATCCTAGGATTATATAACACAATCCCATTGGACAATCAAGGATTCCACAATTCAAACACCCACTTGAGAGCATCAGGGACAACCATCCTCTTGATCTTGTCATATGGAGGCGGGACGCCCTCATAAGCCTTCAGCCTTGTAAACGCAGCCTCTCCGCGCTTTGTCTTGTGGGGAATCATTCTGCAGGGACAGTTTAACACAGCAAACCACAATAATTCGCCCCAACATCACGATCAGCAGTAATTTCACCAAGTTCGCAACCACAAAGAAGTTGACATCTCTTATTCATCAACTATGAAATTTTCTCCGTGAGCATTTTAGACTAAATAAAACCAATTAGTTCTAATAGCTTAAAGCAGAGTTCTCCATGCTAACAGATGACAGTAGGTTCTCCATAGTAATACTGCAACAACGCAACATTCAAAACCCACCAAATTATCCTCCAACTAATGGCAACCACATTTGCTAAACCGAGGAAGGTTGCAGAACCAAAAATCAAAGGTTTAAGAAAAAGAGTGTAGATGCGAAGATAGAGAAAGCTGACCCGCGGACAGTTCGCCAGAAGATCTTAGAAGGAGCGCGGAAGTGGATTGGACCATGAGAAGGCTTGGTGTTCATGCGCTTGCGGAGGAACCTCATGTACTTCATTTTCTGGCGCACAAGTCCACCGGACATGCATAACTCCTCGCACCTGACCACCACCACTTTCTGACCGTTGAGAAGCTCCTTCGCCACGATTGATGCCAGCCGGCCGAGCATGTGATGCCTGGCGTCCACCACCACCCTCTTCGCGCAAATCCCCGACCCGGACACCATTTTTTTTTATCTCTAGGCTCTCGCTTCCCTTCCTCTCCGACTTCTCTATCTGTCCACTCGCCTGAAACTGTCGATTGAGTTTATCTCAGAAGGTTAGGGTTTTTTACCCGCTGGCCGCTGCCGGGATTTGTTGATCGGGTCGGGCACTGGCGGTTCGGATATCGGTGCTTTACTTTGAGGATCACCTATGGGCCTTGAGCCCAATGCTTACTAATTTGAAAATTAAAAAAAAATATTATATTAAATAACATGTTTATTCTTAATAAAAAAATTAGGGTGGTTCGAAAATAATTATAAACTTTGTTGATGAATATATTTAATACGATAAATAAATAAAAGAAAGAAAAAAATTAGGAGAAATAAAATCCTACGAATCAAGATATAGAATTTTTTTGATTATGAGAGATTTTATATCCATAGATTTTAGAGATTTGAAATCTCTAAAGCTAAAATACACAATACAAGAAGTAACAAAAAAAAATTCTACAAAATCTACGGATTCAATGAATTTACGATCTAAATCATGTTCTCCAAACGAGTTTTTCCATAAGAATGGAGGAGGAGGAGGCGGTGGTGGTGGTGTGTTGTTGTGGGAGGAAAATGGTGAGGTAGGGTTATGTTTGTTTCAAGTGAGAAAAACACCACAGCACCCAGAATAGCAAATGCTTCTGCCTGAATCGGGTAGGAACAATAGAATCTCTCAGCCTTGTCGTCAATCACCTGGCCATGAGCATCAGCAATGGTAATCCCACAAGCCGCCAACTGAGACTCCCAAACAAAGGAGCCGTCACAGTTGCTAACCATGGTGCAAAGGTCCTCTAATTTTCAAAATTTTGTTTCCTATATGTTTTTTTTATATAGAAAGATACAACAAAATTGTTTATCGTAATTGGTTATGATTCTCGTCTCTCTTTCAATATGAAAATAATTTATAATTTAATACTTTTTAATTTTGCTGCTAACATGGTGGTGAGCTGGACCGTTGACCGTCTAAATTGACGGTAAAATCACATGTCTGGCCAATTGAGTCTATATTGTACATAGTTGAGACTATGATATTTATAAAAAAAATTGAGTTAAGAACATGGTCCATGAAACCGTACCGGAGACCATACTGGAAAAGTCAGCGATAGAGTATTTTATGACAAAATCATGGTTTAACTGTAGTTCAACCGTTAGTACCGTTAAATAACGTCTATCGGTTTAGCCTCCGCTCTCCGATACTGATATTTTGTGGTTGAACCACCGATACGATACGGGACCCTGGTTAAGAATTAAGATAGTCAGGGGTTGGTGACAAAGTCGTAGTTGCCGCCACCTCCCTCCAACCGTCGCCCGTCGGCCAGACTCCAAAGTCCAATCCCATTCCGCACCCCATATTTTACTAATCAATGCAATTTGCCAACCTCACCTAACGAAACCCATCCCTGCTATCAATCCTATTGATTCCCCTTCCCATATTTCTTCCTTAGTTCACTTCGTTAGTTTGCGTCTCCTACTCTCTTTAAAGCCACTTTTGACTGGTGGTGAGTTGTTCGTCTGTAACACTGCCTCCCAACTTCCACCACCAGCCTCAATTGCTAGGTAGGATATACCCTAATCCCAAAAAGCAAAGAAACCTCCTTCGTCTGTCTCTGTCAATCAGTTTCTGGGTTTTTACCAAAGGCGAAGGAAAGAACAGTTGACCTGAGGAGATGAGCGGCGAACAGAAGGTGTTCACTTTGGCCGAGGTCTCTGAGCACAACACCGCCAAGGACTGCTGGCTGGTCATCGAGGGCAAGGTCTGTCTCATTCACTTCCCAATCCAATTTTGTTCAATGGGTTTTGATCAGAACTCTAGGGGGGCGGTTTTGAGTTTTGATGTGTGGTTAATGGCTGCTTGATCTGGGAAGAAGTTCCCCGTTATTTGTTTATCGTCTAATGGATGAAGCATTATGTTCGGTTTACGATTTGGGATTTTCTGGGAAGCTTGAGGATTCACATATTGTTTATAGGAAGAAGGATCTGTTTTGGTTTCTGTAAGGTCTGGTTGAATATTCTGGGGGTGGAAACTCATAGCATCAGCGTCAATCAATAAATAGCTGACAAGACTCCAAGCATCACCTTTGGGCTTTAATGTGGTCTTAGTTGTCCATATACCTTTGCCAATGGTGTGTTCATGCTGTGTGCCTGGTGATATTAGATCTTTCCAGTTTGGTTGGAATACCAAGTCTATCACAATTTGATGGTTTTTGCCTGGGTTGAATTCTGCCAAAATGTTGTGCATTCTGAAGAGGGATTTTCATGTTTTTGGAACAGGTATACAATGTGACAAAATTTTTGGAAGACCATCCTGGTGGTGATGAGGTTTTGCTGCAATCAACAGGTATGGAAACCAGTTCACTGATGTTCCTAGAAGTCAATCATCTCCTGGCTTCTCCCAGTTAACACACTAAAACATCGTAATTGCTAACCAGGGAAAGACGCGACAGAAGATTTTGAAGATGTCGGGCATAGCACCAGCGCAAGGGCGATGATGGACGAGTTCTACATGGGGGAAATCGACTCTTCTACCATCCCAACCAAGGTCAACTACACAGCTCCTAAGCAGCCTCACTACAGCCAGGACAAGACCTCCGAGTTCCTCTACAAGCTCCTCCAGTTCTTAGTCCCCCTCCTCATTTTGGGTGTGGCTTTCGGCATTCGCTTATATGGCAAATCACCCTCTTCTTAAGGACTACGTAAAGAAAAGGCTCCTGTGGATCTAATCAATCCCCGTGCTCTGCTGTTACAGATTAGAAGGTGATTGTGGCTCCTATCAGTGCTTCGGGTTTCATGTGTTCTTTTAGGAATCTTTTTTTCCCGTTTATGATCTTGTACTGCTGCTATCCCTCCTCCTTTTGCTTTGACATCAGAAACTGGTTCGGACTCTATTGGGAATTCGAGATTACCATCTGGCAGCGTTCTTCAACGCAATAGGCTTTTGTTCCGCGTTAGTTATGTTTGTTGAGAGCTGAATAAGGTGAAGGTAAATAACCATGATGCTGAAGTGAGCTGACTAAAGTTTGTTGAGAGCAACATGCTACACTTAACACGAAGTAAAGAAACCATGATGCTGAAATGAGCTGAATAAGAAGTTTCCCCTGAACCAAGATGCAGGGAAGACTTTCTTGTCGAGTCGTTGATATTGTAAGGATTAGTCATATATCTCAACCAAGAAAACCATAAATATTAAGACAGATAAAAAAGGAGCAATTTTTATTTTTGCTAAAGAACTAAACTCTGTGGAAGATTTTGATTGGAGAGCTGGAAGGCGATTGCTTCCGTGATTAGAAAGTTCTTCAATGGCCTGCTCTGCTGTCCTCCTTTGCTCCTTTCTTTCCCTTTACTTGCTTCAAGAAGGAAAAGTAGCCATCATCTAATGTAAACCCGATCCTGTTTGATTAAACTAACAAATCTTAAACAGGGGACTCAATCACTTCCCCCAATAATTCAAGAGAAAGGGATATGTATGGATCTTTTGATTTTTTCACCCAAGACAGTCCACCCCCATAGTTCTTCCCGCCCTTCTCTTCCTATAATATCACCTTCTCAATCACCATCTCTTCAGTAACCCTCTAATAAACAAATTCTCACCTCAACACATTAAATGCAGAGCCTGAGAAACATCAGGAGCAAGAAGAAGAACAAGTCCAGAACCCTGGACGAGGAACCTGGAATCCTGAAGCTTGTCCACCCAGGCTGCCACGTCGAAATCCACAGGCAACCCATTTCAGCATCGCAGGTGCTAAAGAAGAACCCCAGACACTCGGTGGCCCGACCCGACGTGTTCAGCAACCCCTGGCTCGTGGTCCGGCCTGATGCAATTCTTCATCCGGGCAGAGTGTTCCTCATCGTCCCCAACTCGACACTCTATCAACTGCTAAAATCTCGAAGGGAGAGGCGCGAGTTCTCGCCTCACCCGGATTACTATCAGCTCGGCAGAGGAGGTAAAGGAAATGGAGGAGGGTTGTTGCCCGAACCAGAAATGGTTGCTAGCAATGTCAACGGCTCTTTTGAGAAGGAAGAAAGAGAGGATCATGAAACTGATTCTCCACAGATCAGGCTTAGTTCCTCTTTCTACCACAGGAATGCCAGAGTCAGTCCTGGAATTCCTGACGAAGCCTCTGCCGATTTTGGTTTCGATTTCGGACGGGCTCGTCGGGATGGACAGGTTGCCAAGCTGAAGCCTTGTTTGAGGAATCCTGAAAGCGGTCGGAGATTGCTTGGGCTGAGAGTTACTTTTAATTTGCCTCGCCGGGAAGGATAAGGAGGTTGGTTAGTTGAAATTTTGTGGTCTCCGGAACAGTTTTCTTTGAGGAGAGAGCCCTGCTGCAGTGTAACAAAGAATAATAACTCTGTAAAGTTACCAAATTGAGTACATAGTAATAAGTACTAGACACCAAGTATGAATCTTATACAAGAGTACATATTTGACATGGTATGGGCGCTTTTGATTTGGAGGTCTCAACTCTCATGTGTAAATTCTCATAATTCGGATATTAATACAGAAAGTAATCTAAAGTACATAATATGATGGATTTGTGTAAACATAAGTTTTGTAGATTGACTTTCATTTGACAGCACATATTAGCGAATATGATATAAGATCTATGTTTCAACATCTTGTAATTGTAACAATGTCAAGAGAATTTTTTTTTGCACCTAATATTTTATTGACTTTGTGCTTCTTATAAGATTTGTTTTAGAGTAACATATGACGATTCCACATCAATAAGTTAAATTTTGATTTCTTTTTATGTCAGTTTCAAACGACTCTAATTAATTCAAGAGATTGATCTAAGAATAATTTCAATATATTGTTCAATCATCAAACAATTCTAGGAGGCTCCATTTGAAACTTGATTGAGAGCAAACAAACATAATCGAGTCACAATCACAAACAAAAACAAAAAAAACTCTGGAAATTACATTACTTTTCTTATGTACAAAGTCCTCGAAACATAATTTAGCATACATCAATCAGACAATCACAAACACAACAAAATTTAGTTTATCACTTCAAAAGGGGAAATCGGGAAAGGACAGAAACAAGAGCTTGCAGACATTAGAAACTCACGCTTTTAACAACCCTTCTATGCTCTCTAACCTCCAAGATCTGAAACCATTTACATTTACAAACGAAAAGGGAGGTAACTAAACCAAAAAAACTGCAGAAGACGGTCTACAAAGCACCCACCAAAACAACACAAATGAAGAACCGCAGCCTAGCTCGAGGTCGGTAATTTAACACATAGAATAGCGCTCACTCACTCACTCACTCACTCATCAATCCGTACTGGCACAAGTTCTGGCACAAGTTCTGTCCATCGCCCTAGAATCCGTCCTCTGAGACTGCTTGGAAGGCGAAGTCGATCCCCTCGACGAGCCATTCCCAAAGAAACCAAGCTTTCCTAGTTTTTTAGAGAACGAATTCATGAACTTCCGGGAACCAGACCTGTGCATATCCCTCTTCATACACACATGATCCTTCTCCAGGTCGTTCAGCCTCATCCGCATCCGCGCCAGCTCCAGCTTCAGCTCCCGATTCTCCCTCCTCAGCGACGCGTAGTTGTCTCGCGGCGACATCGCTGCACTGAACGCCCCGCTGCTCGCCCTCCAGGACTGCTGCATCGGCCTCACGTGATCCGGTTCGTGATCCCCGCCCCCGCCGTAAGAGCAGCACAGCGCATTCCTCAGCCTGACTTGTTCAAAATAGAGAACCTGTACGATCGCTTGAAGCGGAAGCCTCTCGTTCTGCGCGGCATGTGCTCCGGCTTCCTGAGACAGCTTCTGGAAGTCGATCAGCTTGCACAGCCGCTTCCTGTCCATGTCTGATAAACCCTGATGCGCCTGATGACTCAAATTTCAACAGTAATAAGTCTATCATTTGTTGGGATAAAAAAGCAAAAAAAAAAAGACAGAAGTTTGTGGCAGACATTAAAGAACTTACTTTAAGGTAAATGTCAATGGCTCTGTACAAGGCATCATGAACCGTGCGAGCATGAGCAGGTAAAGTCTCTGCCACAATCATAAACTTGGACAGCTTCAGATTAGCATCGGGAGCGATTTCCGCCAGGTAATTGTCCACCAATTTCGACACCTTAAACAGCGCCGTCTGAGAAGGCGAATGCTGCGGGCTATCGGATTGATCGAAACCAGATCCATCGTCATCCATCCCATCACCATCACCGTCATCATCATCACCTTCGCTGTCGTCCTGCTGCGAGAAGTTAACCAAGATCCGATGCACCGCGTCCACATCGAACAATGTGTCGCCCGAATGCCGAAACGAGGGGATCAGAAGGTCGTCGAGGGTCGCATCGTCGAGCTGCGACCCGATCCGCCTCTCCAAATCAACTCTACAACCCACGCTGCAATCAAGCATGGCAGCGCTCCTCAGGAGGCCAAACAGGAAACTGATGGGAACTGCAAGTTTCTCCAAGGGAAGCAAGCTTATGATCGTCTCCACGACCGCCCTCTCGTGGGCAGTCGTGGAGACCGGATCGACCACTTTGGTCGGGTTTGGGTTTGGGTTCCAGAGGCTGGACTTCTTGGTCAGCTCCCTCTGAGCGTAGCTGACGAGGGACGCCCCGATGCTCTCGGGACGAACCCCGCGGCATTTCATCGCTGTGATCACCCTGTGGAAGAGGTCGATTCGGAGCGCGGAGAGGTCCTGGATCCACCAGTCCCCCTCGCACTTGCTTCCTGCGGCCTGCTTGTTCATGTGGAGCCTCCCCGAGCTGCTGTACTCCAGCCTCGAGAAGCTCGAGGCGATCTGCTCGACGCAGGCCTTGGAGGCGACCGCGTCGACGCAGCGGCTCGCGATCTTGAGCTCGTCGGCTAAGGGCAAGAGGTTCTCGCAGTGCTGGAGGACCTGGACGCAGAGCTCGAGGCTCTTGGTGACGACGCTGTCGAGGTACTCCTCGGCCCGGGAGGCGAGGTTGTCGTGGGAGTAGTCCTCCGTCATCTCGAGGTAGTCGGAGACGCAGATGAGCTGGGCCACGTTGCTCGGTGTGATCTCGAAGTTGATCCCGTAGCAGAATTTGGCCGCCAGCTCGAACGTCTCGGGGCCGCCCGGCGAGTTGAGGAGCTCCACCCTGGAGATGTCTGCATCCCTGTGCTCTGAAACCAGCTTCCTGATTCGGCCACTTCTTGATACGATTGGAAACTGCGAATGCCAAATGCCAAATGTTTTCAGATTGAGAAATGACACCCGGAGGAGTAACTGTTATGTGGTTAGATAGATACCTTGTGCAATGCAAATGTGGATCCGGCAACTTCAATGGTGATATCACTAGGGACATCTCTGAAAATCCTGCACAAGGCAGAGTTAATTCGCTGCTAGTTAGTTAACCCATGAAATGTAACGCTTTTTTTGTAAAATTTCCACCAACGAAATGCCTAGTGATCGAACTGAAGAGCTTTCTTGCGTACATTCAAAACAGGGGAATCAAACACTGAACTTTACAGTAGAAAAAACAAATACAGAGGACGAGGCATGAACATGGGAAGGGAAGTCGCACCATTCACTGAAGCGCTGCCTGGAAGATTTATTAGCCAAGTAGAGCTGCTGCTGCTTAGAGTCCATTGGCAGAGGCAAATGGGAATGGCGATGAAGAAGAGCAATTATAAAGAAGGGGAAGAAGCAGAAAGATGAGACCAAATGGAGGTGGAAAAGGCAAAAAGGAAAGGGGGGACTATTTGCTAATTGGGATTCAGCAGCACTACTCAAATCACTCAATATTCCTCTTGGAGCTATCAGAAACCGAATGATGGGAAACAAAAAGAAAGAAGAAAGGGACTACTAGGACTAGCGTGAGAACAGGTTTTCCATGGCTCATCATTTGCCTTTGAGCTACTGCCTATATGGGACGATGGAAGTAAAGTTTTGTCAAGTTCCTTTGTGGTTTCACTGGTTTGTTCCCTTTTGGTTTCTTAAATACCAAAGTCAAAACTACATAAAGAAGAAAAGCCGCCCAAAAAGAGATCTGTAATCTTTGGTATATCCCTTTCGCATTGCATTAGCATCTCGTTTTATTTAAGTTTTTATCCGGATGTGGGAGCATCAATATCTCTTTCATTTTTATTCGAGAAATTCACATTTTTTTATTATAAAAAAATCAGATTAATCATACTATTCAAAATTACATCAACTATATCTTGTTTAAATGAAACTTTTATTGAGACATATTTTATGACTCTACACCATAGTGATTAAGTTTCATAATGAATAAGATTGTATCATGGTGGTAGAAATGCATAATTGTATAGAATGATGATATATGTGATAGATCGTCTAGTCTCATTTGCCATTATGGTACAGGATAGGATATTTGGTATCAAAAAAATTTCCTGCAATATATAGAATTCTATAATCTATACATCATAATGAAGGTTTTCTTTCTGTGGAAAAAAATTCTCGATTTGAGTTACAAAACAAAAGTGGTAACTAGTATGAACGAGTAGTTTAAAAATTAACTTTCCCCGAAATACTTTGAAAATGAGCATTGGAAATCACGTTAACAAGAGAAATTTAATGAGAGAAAGTTGTGATAGTCCGAAACTTGTTTGCTAGGTTTCGACCGTCGATCCTAGCATATCATGTTGGCATCTGTACCGGTTCTATCATCTTTCCTTTCTCCCAGTATTCAAGTTAAACACCACAATTACTCATCATATACCCTGTACCATTGATCCGTTTACTAATCGAAATGATTATCGCTATTGTATTATTTGTTTTAGTCTAATCTATACTTTGGCCCAATCCCTTGCCTGTGGAATTCATAGTCAACTGAAGAATAACGATTGGTTATGAGATGTTCCTATATCAGGATTTATCACTCAAAGAACTTCATTCTCCTCTTGGTCGTTTTGATTCTCCGCCATCTCAACCTCAACTTCTTCTTCCGATTCAACTTCCTTCTTTATTCCAACTCCAATTTCTTCGTCGGGATCAACATGTGGTTGTCCCTTATTCACCCATGCTTCCCTTGCTTCCTACAACTCCTTCTCCTTCTCCCGAGCCAAGAGTCGGAGAGTCTGATTGATGTTCTCGTCAAGTGGCTCCAAAGGTGTTGGATCACTTCAGGTCATACACCTCCTGCACACACTTCACAAAACACAACTCGAGCCAAGACAAGCAAGATTCCACTACTCAGATGGAAAGGATCTTGTGCTTTGAAAAAACTGTTTGTGAGGTTGAGGTGAATTATGTTTGATAAAGGCTTCTAAAACACTGTATATGCATAAAAATAAAACAATGGTAAACTGGATGGGAAAAGTAGTAAATGGAGGCAATGTTGTCCATTGAGTTTCCAGATTAGTAGTTAAAATGATCAAAACACATAAGCAAATTGAAGGCATTCTCACGAATTGCTATTCTCACTATGACCTTATATCCTATGATCTTCCAGTGGACCTATTCTTTAGAGATGGATTAGAATGTCGAGCGGAAAACTAACCATTCATGATGTCGATATTACTATTTATACTTATTAACTACCTATTAGAATACCTTAAGAGGTGTGCATTAAATCACACAAATCTTTCTTCCCGATCAATTCATATGAAATATATATGATTGTCTTTAGTGCACTCACTATTTTAGTGCATTCAATTCACTCACGTCATAATCGTCATTTTGAGCAGACGATTCACGTGGAAATGATATCAATCGTCACTCGTGATATGATGGACAAAAAAACTCATGATTTTGCACAAAAATCCTCAAGATTTACTTTGATTTGAAGGATATATGGTTTGGAAATTAAGGTTAGGGTTTAGAGTTTACAATTTGGGGTTTAGGATTTGAGTTCAAAAGTGAAGATTTAGGGCTTGGGTAATGTGTTGATTAGTTGTGGTTCTACTATACTCATGGAGTATACTAGTCTTAACCATATATATATATATATATATAATGTGTGGGGAGTTCTACGGTACCCAGGGTGAAATCCCTGGTACCGCATACCTTGAGTAAGAAAACGCTATCCAACACTTGAATTGACCGATCTTTCGGACATGATACTATATATATGCTAACGATTAGTGTACTGCCTCACTCCAACTACCACAATAAAGTCTTGACTAGAGCCCAAGTATAAACTCTAGTACGGTGCAGTATAGGGCAAGCATTTTAAAATGTCAACCCGGGCCGGTCCATGTAATCCTACTTCAACCATTTAAAACTTTATGTAGCAATCAATTTTCAGTGAATAATAAGGACTACAATTTAAAACAAGCAAAAAGGTAAATGGTTTTAGAATCTATATGAGAAAGCTTCATCCGGCTATTGCTCCCCTAAGCTATATATCAAGATCGACCGATGATACCACTGAATTTGCACATGTTTTTACCCCTCATTTCTTGATTGTTTAGTTTGGTGTTTTCATACTTTGGCCTCTTTTACGCAAGGTTGTGTCCCTTTGTCACACTTCAGGTCCTAGCACGTAAAGTGAAGCATAGACACAAGTTTGAAGTCAATCAGAGATCAACTGGCAAATCGGGGGAAGAAACTCGGGCAGGACCCAAGGAAGAATGGATTTCTACCTCATTTTATGGACAAAGAATCATGTAAGCTTGTCATTAAAAGAAAGAGGAGGAGACTACGAGCGTGTGGGATCAAATGACGACTGAATCATAGTCCGGACGAGAGGAGAAACTAAGCATCAAAGACAGTGGAACAAGAGCTGATGAAGAAACACATGCAAGAGCACGGTCGTGTTTTGTCCTCCTGAGCCCGTGTTTTTAGTGACGAGAAGAAATAAGGGAAGAGCTGAAACACGGTTTGAGAAACACGAACGTGTTTCTGTCCCCTCCTCGGGTATAAGTTTGATTTCTGCAATTTTAGAGAGAGAGAGAGAGAGAGAGAGAGAGAGAGAGGTTGGGTTTTGGATCCCAAACACCCAAGGGACGAACCTTAGAGAGAGCGCGACTTGGGAACATTCTTGGAGCTATTTTGGAGGATTTCTTCACCATTGGAGCTCGAGAATCAAGCTTGGAGATGGAGATTGAAGATCTAGATCAGATTTCTGCATTCTCTCTCTTCTCTATTGAGTAACTTCCCTTCACTTAGGTTTTGAGGAACCCTAGTTTCATGTGTAAGGATCTTTCTTGTATGAACCTTTGGATGCTATACTGTTTGATTATAATCGATTGAGGCATGATTTATTGAGTCAATTGAATCCTGATCAAATTCTCTTGATTTCTGTTTTAAAATTTGATAGATAGAATGGAAAAAATCCAAAACTACCACCATTAAAAAAAATTACAAAAATACCACCCATACTCAACAATTTCCAAAAATACCACCCTTCCACACAAAACGCGCCTCGAAGGCGCGGTTCACACTCAAACCGCGCGGGCAAGAGGCGGTTTGACCCTTCGTATCTATCAAAACGGGTCACCACGTGGCAGCCCATGCAACCGCGCGATGGGGAGGCGATCTGACGGCCAAACCGCCCGCCAGCGCAGCGATCCGCGTCGCTTAGTCAAATCGTTGCCCCGAGGCGCGGTTTGCGTGTTGGGGAACGTAAACGGCGTGCTGGTGGCGCGATTTTGCATGGGGTAAGAAGACCAAACCGCCCCTCCATCATGCGGTTTCGTCCCTATATAAACCCCAACCCTCCTTCCATTTTCTGCACATCAAACCCCCATTCCCCCTCTCTCTAAGTTCCTCACTCTACCCACCCCCCTCCCCACCCCTAACCTTAGAAGTAGTTATTTTGTTGGTTGCGGCTAAGTCCGATCTACCTTCAAAAAACTTTTTCTTTGATTTTCACTAAAAAACCGTAGAATCTCTGTCCAGATTCTGAAAAAATGGTCGATTTTATCCAAGAAGAGGGTATTTACTATGATGATTATCAAGCGATACGTACTCATTTTACCCAATTTTTGTTGTTGTTATAATGATTTATTTAATTTATATACTAATTGATTTATGTTGTTGTTATGCTATCGTAGGTTGGGCCGGATGTTGATATATACAATCAACGATATTATGTTGATCAAGGATCGATTGATCCGACTATTTTATACGATCAAGCCAATCATCGTTCAAGAGACGTTTGGAACGACCACAAGGTACATATTATTTATCATCACTTGTAATTTTTATTTTGTTAAATTAATTTATTTGTTTGTACAATAATTTACTTAATTGTTAATCGTATTGATTATTTTGAATAATTTAAATCAATACAACACTTATTTAGACTATTTATAAAGAAATGCATGTCTAAGGAAATGGGATCTTAAGCGATCATCATGATCCCCCCATGACGTGGAAAAATTGGGTTCTAAGCGATCCTCGGATCTCCCCTTTTTCTGTCAAAAAGACTGTGTTTCTAAGGAGATGTATACCTCTCCTAAGAGTCTTACGAGTGTACTTTTATTGCTTTAAATTATTGAAAATAATCAATACAATTAACAAAACAATATATTTGATTTTATGTGTATGTGTACAAAAAATAAATGTACTTAAATTTCACAAATCATTTTAGTTATGTTAAAATTAATGTTTATTAGATAATGTATATTTCTCTAAAACAACCTTGATATAATTAATATTGCATTTTATAATATATTTATATATGTATAAATCATCAACTTATAGTGAAAGTTAAATACTTCTCTAGGATGCATACCATATAGTCCGCTATAGGGGTACGACGAATGTGCTTGAATGAAACGACGTCATCTTGCCCTTTCTAAAAAAGGCAAGATTGGATTCGATTAGGCACTTTAATGGAATCAAGATCGACCTCCAACTCATCACAACATTGGTAGAGAGATGGCGAAAGGAGACACACTGCTTCAATTTTCGTGAAAGCGAGTGCACCATCACACTTAAGGACATCGCCATCCTCGCCGATTTGCCCATCGATGGCGATGTTATTTGTGTGGACTCTACGCCACCACCTAAAGTTGTTGCCAATATGAGTGGTTGGCAGCATTCTATATGGACGGTCACCGGGTTGTGTCCGCCATAAAAGGGAGATCACGATGCGAATGGTAATCCACCATTGTCCAAGGGCCAAGTATCCATCACTTGGTTGACAGCGGAGATCAGGCGTAATCACAACTCTGAGTTCGGAGGCATTCCCCTTACGGAGGAAAGTTCGGAGCGTGATAAAGACATTTATTCACATATCTACAACCTCGGAGCGTGCCTCCGACGGTCAATAGAAGGCCAAACAAGGCTACAAGGGATCGACCTCACGTGCTGGAGATCAAGCCGATTGAGGCGTGGAAGGTGCCTACTCCATTGGAGGTGTGCAGCGGTGCAGGGTCGAGTACTCAGTATGAACCCCGGTCGAGTTTTCACTACGATCCATGACCAAGTGCTTTCTACGACCCCAGTACTCAACATGAGCCTCGCCCCAGTTTCCACTACAATCCCGCGCCCGGTAGTCACTATGATCCCCGGTCGAGTTTCCAATACAATCTCCGGCCCAGTTTCCAGTATGATCCCCGGACAAGTACATTTCATGACGCCACATCCTCAGCTACTTGGGTCGATGGTTCATACTCAAGTCCCCAACAAGACTTCTCACCTTTGCATCGACCGCAACAACAATGGCAGTCCACTCCCCACCGTTTGAGCGTGGATAGTCCTCGACCGCACACGGAGGGGCCACCTACCACGGCACCGCGACGGCATAGCACGAACCAGCGCCCTTCTACAGCGAATAGGAATCTGCCACCACTTCGAACCCCTATTACACCCGGTGGACCAGTCTCCCATCGCACAAGGAAACAGAGGGCAAATCGTCGAAATAATGCATGAGTGTGACAATTTGTGTTTATTTCAAGTTATGTTTTGTTTAAATTAAGTTGAACAATTTGTTTTTATTTGATCATGTAGTGTGTTTGTGTTCGTGATGTGTTTATTCAAAGAGATGGAAAATTGCATCGAAGTGTGGTAATTTTGCAAATCTCCAATGTCATTTAAGCACACAAAATACAAGTATGTAACCATTGAAATTAATACACTCTGTCAAAATGCATGAAATCAATCTATGCGCCATTATCCGAGTTTACCACATCGGGCCCTGAATTTTGTGGACCAATTGGGTTGGGACATTTTCGTTTATCATGCCCAGGTACTTTGCATATGGAACACCACCTTAGCCCTCGCGGTTGTCTTCCACTTTGATCCATCTCATTTGGAATCCTTTTTACCCGCATGCGCCCTATTTCCCGCGTAAGACCGATTGGTGGAATGATGACCTTACCCTCATAAACTGGCCAGTAAGCTTCATCTGGCAATGCACGGACACTCGTACGATAACTGCTATTTTGTGAGTCGATGTTGAAGAACAGACTGACGAAATGACGAGGGTCTTTGCTCCTGTGCTTTATTACAGCCATTGCATGGGAACAAGGTATACCTCTACCCTGATACATCTGACAAGAGCACTTCCCTTTTTTAGTCCTGAAGTTGACGGTGAATTCATGGCGATGACCCTCACGTCTCCCATCCTCCCAGTGCCCAGTCTCGACCGAACACTCTACAACATTTCGGTTCGTAACAGTGACTTTGTGACGAGAGCTCTTCCGATTATCTTTTTCCATTATTTTTGTGGCCTTATCGGAGTGTACCTTACCATGTGCCTCCCTCTTCTCACACCAGTGGAGACGGTTGACGAACCATGCATTTGTTTTCCAGAATGTCATCTCAACAATTGTAGAGATGGGGAGTGCACGACATTCCCTGTAGACGTTGTTGATACTCTCGCTTGAGTTCGTTGTGGCAATACCCCATATCGTACCTCCGTCCTTATGAAACGTCCACATTGCAAGGTCATGTTGATCAAGCCACTGCGCACCTTCAGGGCATAGCTGACGGATATTCTGCATCTTCTCTTTAAATTTCTTCTCTTGGTAAGCGACAACTGATGAATATCAAACAAAAGCGTAAGGTAAGCAAGACCGATCTTACCCTCAATACAAGTACACTCGTAAGACTCTTAGGAGAGGTATACATCTCCTTAGAAACACAAC